GAAATTCTCTTATCGCATAACACACTAGACGTTTCTCTCCACTTCATCCACCCACACTTAATCCTGTATCTTAAATCTATGTCAATACCACCGTTATTTTGTACAAATTATTTTGTCACTAATCTCCTCATTTCACTTTCCTCGTGTTTTTCTCGATTAAATTCGTACTATATATACTCTGTCTTACTGCTACTTATTCTTAATCTCTTTTTTAGAAGAGCTGATATCCACGCCTCTAGCTTTTGATTAATTTTATCCTATATTTTCAAATTAGCATTATATTGTTAGTGAACAACATGCACCGCGGTACCTGTCCTTGTATTTCTCTAGTAATTTCATCTATCGCTAGAAAATATGTAAGTACTTAAAGCAGAACCTTGTTGCACTCCTACTCTTACCCTGAAATCTTCTGTTACTCCACCCATAATTTTAACCTTGGTCCAAGTGCCTTCATATAGATTCTCTATTATAATAATATAGTTTTTTGGACTCTTTGTCTTATTAATGCCTACTTTAAAACCTCCCTCGGTACTCTATCATACGCTTTCTCCAAATCTATAAATACCATATACAATTCTATTGTCATCAGTCTATGCTGTGTAGTAAGACTCTCGCCTGGGATAAATTAACAATTTTTACTCGCTTTACATTCTCTCTCTTCAACATTAAATAATAAATGTATGATCTATTACTTCCACTTTTAAAAGTTATATAATGTTTTTTCTTCTTATTAAAATAACTATTAACTACAGTAAGATCACACGATACTGCAAGATACAAGATTCTTTATCTAGCCTCATTCTTTTTATTAAAACCATACCTTCCGTGTACTCTATCATATCCTCTCCTCTCTTTATCGACATGTTCATTCATATTACCATCTATCATCGCATCTTCATTATTAGTTCTTCTTTACATTACCTCATCTATCTCTCTTCAAAACACTTCCTTGTTTATTTCATCACATCCTATTAGTGGTGTATAGGCACTTACTACATTCAACATTTTATCCTCGAAAATTAATTTTACAACTATAATTCTATCACTTTTATATGAGTCCGGTCTAGAGTTGAGTGATAATGTCCTTACACCATTGACACTACAAGCATCGGGTAGGCTTGTACACATGACTGGTGATACAGTTATCACACAAGTTATGTGGCTGGTATTCTTTAAATTCTTTATTTTCTCTCAACTGTTGTGTCTGCGTAAATCCTAAATAAGATAATTCGCTTTAGTTTTATCGGTAGTCCGATACAACTAAATGTAAAATACAAATTCACTGCTTTTTTAATTATATAGCCATGGTATCACATACACTCTTTTTAAAGTATTGCAATACTTTTCGTTTTATTTATAAAAACAATTTACCCCGGGAAAAAGTATACACTTGGTTTTTTTTAATATTATTATAAAGAAATGGAACCGCTAAGAGTAGGAAAGGCTGAATATAATCCTGAAAAATTTGCTTATATTACCACTGCTATAGAATGACACTTAAAATTGTATTTTGTTACATAAAATATATAGATCATTAAGAACAATATGTAAAAATGTATATAAACATTACATATCAATAGTATTAATCCATCATTTTAAATAAAGTAAGACAACTAAAATAGGTATTTAAAAAATATTTTGATGTATAAAGTCATATAATGGCTAAGATAGAGAGACAAAAAAGTAAAAAGAAAACGTATTATATTTATACAATGTTCGATAAGTAAGGAAACAGACCAATTGGTGCAGACAATGAGAACAATAGAAACCCGTTTCCTACTTACTGAACACTCTATATAAGACAATAATTTTGTGATAGCTAAATTTGGCTTATATTTGATTCGATATAATTGGCATGTATCAGGGTGTGTGTGGTTACTAGAAGACAGGTTCGTTTTTAGAATTTTTTTTCGGTTGGGTTTATTGAGAAAATTATTTTTTGCTCAAATTCTTCTAAAGACTTCATTCTGAGTAAAAATTAGATTGTCACGATTGCGACGGTAAACGAGCCCTTCATATAAACGCCATTGATCGAGGAATACAAATACACGAAAATAATGTGAAATCATTATTGGTTTCATAAATTGGTTAATTTATCACAAATTTTTTTCAAATTTAATCTATGTCTTCTAAGAACGTTACTTTAATTATCGTAATATTGATGATTTAATATAATATTATCTTTGGCTGTGTTTTTATATTGTATTTTTTATAAATAGTTGAATGACGAATAGTGATTACAACTGTTTTGATTATTTTTAAAAATTTTGTTAGACATTTTTTCACATAAAAAATACAACTATAGTATGAAATAGTGAAGTATATTTCTTAGTGAAAAAAACTACTTCATTCATTTTATTGACGCTGTTAAAAACTCTATTTCTAAAAAAAGTAGTTTGTTCTCGATAATAGTAGTAGTGCGCTACTTCCAATCACTAGTTATTTCTTTTTTTATCACGAAGGAAGAAATAATGATTGGCAGCTTTTTCTAAAGATCTTTTGTCAAGTTAATTTATCCGTTTTCGACCGATATTTAAACCAATAACAAAATGCGTAGGTAATGTTTTTTACCAACACATTTACACTATACTGGTTGAATTATTTCGTGTATTTTTATTTTCGTTTTATCCTAAATACATTTTATCATTAAAAATAATGTTGAAAAAATATTATTTTATAGCACATGATTTATGAAATATGTTTTAATATACAGTGAACAGTGTCGTTTAATAAAAATACTATATCTAATTTTTTGTAAAATAATGATTTATTCATAAAAATATACTGAATAAAATTTCATGTATTTTTATAAACCATTATTAATATTGAGTTTTTGTAAAAATATAACTATTTCTAAGGATATTTTAGGCGTAACTTATGAAAGTTAAATAAGAATCTATAGTTATTTTTGTACTATAAGACGAAAAAAGGAGTGAATAAAATGTTGTTAATCAATTTTGTTGTACTACTATTTGTTTTAATATAATTTTGCGGTATAGGTGAAGGGGTGTGTAAAGTAGTAGTGGTATTATTTGTGTATTATGGTGAAATGGTATTTAATTTATTTTACAAATTAAAAATTGGTTTTGATTACAATTCGTTAACATTAGAAGTATTTATTCGTTTCTGTATTAAACAACAATTTAAAATTTATATAAATATTAATATATACAAAAATAAACATATTTATTTCTATGTACTATTTAGTATGTGTACGATTAGTGGTCGTTATATTTCTAACCTTAATTTCAGTTGTATTGGTGATGAAGTGTTCGTTGATGTAGGAGTTCAAATATAGTTGATATTTGTGCGTATTTATTCGCTGTTCTCTCAAACATTGTTTGTTGATATTTCCATTTAATTCATCATGAAAAATCTTATTGTTACTTGTTAGTTTTTATTTAGAGAGAAAAGAAAAACAACGTGTTCATTTTTTAATAAACAGATATCATTACGTATTTCATTTCTTTTTAAAACATAACCAACCAACTATTTTATCTTCTTATCACTTTGTTAGGCATGACAACATTTTTCCAGCGCCGCCACCACATAACGCGAATGCAAAAGTCCCACACGATGTTGCCGCATATTATACAATAATACGAGTAATAATACAATAATAGTACATTTACAACATTTCATCTAAACTGTACCATTACAATGGTTTATATAGAGCGTCACTTACCTCGCTTCTCATCTCTGAATCTTTAAATGCTAATATCTCAAATAATAAACATTTTTAAACAAATAAATAAAATATAATTTATAATAAATCATATAGTTATAATTTCTTTTTTAATATTGATAAATATTGTGAAATATATTTAACAATAGGAGATGTATTGCCTTTAGAACTAATGAATTTCATTGATAACAAGTAAATCAAAAATAAAATAATAAAATAAAAAATTTATATAATACACCAGTATTAAAAAAGTAGTTCTATACCTATAAAATTTTGTTTTTCTATAACAAAAAAAAATTCAATATCAGGATAAACAAAATTGAAAGGGTCTTTGTATACATATTGACAATATATTATTTTGACGAAGCATAGAAATACAAGTGATTTCTTTTTATTCACTCATAAAACCTTTTAATGAATATGAAATCCTAAAATAGCAACTCTATCAAAAAAAGTGTAAGTTTAACAGCTGTGGTAACAAAACCTGGCTAAGTAAAAAAATATTATCGTATAAATAAAATTCCCTATTTGTTTTATACATAATTAAATAATAAATAGAGAGTTTTGTAGTACTATTCAAAAAAATTAATATTCCTTACATCTGTCAATAATTAGGAAAAACTGGGAAATGTTGGACACTTAAAGATAAACTAATACAGTAAGCTGACAATTTATAAATTCAATAAATTCGCACAATTTTAAAAATTTATTTTATTTCATAACAAAACTCCCGGCAATTGTCTGCCAAACATTTATAAATCTAAAGTTAAAGAATATTTTTCAATAAAGATAACATGAATCTCTACTAAGTACACGAGGTAATAATACGCATTAATTAATTAATTTTTTATTAGGAATCATCACAAATCATCACGATTAGATAATCTAGAGTACAGTAGAAGCTTTTAGGTGACGGAGTATTCAAGTTTCTTTTATCAGACCCATTATTAGATTTTAAAAATTACCTAGAGAGCATTGGTGTAATATTTCCTAAATGAATCGGAAAAAATCACTATAAATTTGTTCGTATATTAAAATAGTCGAACATACATTTAAATAAAATATAAGAACATTTCTATCAATGTATTTAAATGTTTTATCTTTTAGTTAAAAAAATGTTGACTTGGAGATTTTTTTAAAAATTTTATGTCATTCACAACTATATTCACATTTTTCGTTCTTATATATAAAATAATAATAGTACTTTTATAAAATTTTAATAAAAATGGTCTGTTCTGTTGACGTCTAATCCTAAAAATCATCACAACATGTTCTAAACGTATTCATAGAGTATGTACTTTATTCGTGTGTTTAGGAGATCATCAACTGTAGAATGATCGAGTTGAATCCTATCCAATTGGATGAGATCCCTCACAAATGGATAGCTGTGATTGTCGACTACCTGAGGGGCTTTCGGAACGATACCACTGATTTTAATCGGCCACAACTGCGGCCGTCCGTTCGACACACTTACTTGGCATTTGTTTGCGGGTACAGTGCGCTTATTGTGGCCGGAGCTCTTTGTAACGCGTATGTGCTGGCCATTGTCATACGCAAACGACTCTATGCAGCCGATCCGGTGTACGTGTACGTGGCCAACTTGGCATTAACTGGCATGCTTGAGTGCGTTTCCGTGCTGCCTATTTCGCTGATGGTTTTGCTGGTACAGAACTGGATATTCGGTCGGTTTCTGTGTTTTATGTTGCCCATGTTACAGGTCAGTATTCGCTTTTACTTGATTATAGTTTTACTGTCGACATCTTTGAAAAATATTATTTCGCACCTTTTTATTTCCCTAAAGGCGTAAAGATTTATCGGTTCAATTTCAAAAAGTCGAAAATATTTCAGTGTTAGTAATACACATCGTGCTAAATAGCCTATAAAAATTAACGGAGGTGTTACATTTGCAATAAAAATATTTTCAAATAAATATTTAAATGATTTATTAAATAAATATAATTACTAATTGGAACATTATAGCAAGTAATAAAAATATGTTGAACGCAAATCTAATATTATGAATTAAAAAGTTTACTAATAGAAAATTTGTTTTTATTTTAAGGCTATTAACTAAATGTCGATTGTAATTAGTTATAGCCTGAAACAAATTTAGTTTTTAAAAGACTATAATGTTGTGGATTTATTGGGTAATATTCAAAATTGATATTCGTGTAGACCTGTGCTGAGTATTAACAAATAATGTGTATAATTAATATTATAAACATTAAACGTATAGGTTAGTGTTGCCGGGGTTTTTCTTGATATTAAATAAATAGATAGTTTAATTGTCAAGCAAATCTGTTACTTAATGTCTCATTTTTTCTCGAAATTTATTAAAATGCAGTTTTAGTAGTATATTAAATATAGTCAGAATAAATAACACTTTTGGTAACATAATATTATGGTGACAAAATTAATAAAAATATATTTGAATATTCAAATACATTTGAAAATTGGATCGTAAAATGTATAAATTGTCAAAAAGATCTCAAGTGTTATAAATATAAGCGTTTGGAATTTGGAATTTCAAACGAGAAATAATTATAGTACAATAGGTAATTTTTTTTATGAGAACATATAAATTGACACATAAGGTTAATACCATTCTTAGTAATTGCAACTATCAACATATAAATGTTCAAATTAATTTTTTTCTATATATTTTATTAAAAGTCTTATAGTTTAACATTCAATAATACCAAAATATATTTTTAAATACTCATTAGTATGAGAAACTTTGGATATTTCGAGGGAGATACCTCACTAACCCTCTTCTTGTTTTAGATTCGACACAGCTTAAAAGAAGAAACAGAATTAATCAAACTTATCTAGATGACAAATTTGTCGTCAAATAAATTGTGAAAGCAAATTTTGCGAGCGTGCTTAATTACCGTTATGGTAATTAAGGTAATGATTACTTAAGGTTTCTAAATGATTTTTTAACAATATAATTTTAGGAATATGATATAAAAGCATAACAAACAATAAAAGAATTAAAAACATTTATTTACTACTTATTAACACAATTTATCTTAGTTAAAATATCAAAAAATAAATTTAAACTAAATAACACTAATAAATAATTATATTTTAATCATTAACCCAATTATTTATTTTAAGTAGAGTTACTAATACACGTTCGGTATCTGTTTTATAAATGAGTGGACAAAGAGTTAACAATAAAAATCTTAAAACATGATTTAAGAGAAAAAAAATTTCCAATTCTTAGAAATTTTAACAATAACTCAGTCTGAATATCAATATAAACATTGGCAAAATATGCGTAACTAAACACATAAATTCTATATAATTTTCATAGTTTTTTATTCATTATCTATCTAAAAGTAGAATTAGTTTTGGATGGGTACATAACCTATGATAACATGAACAATAATCGTTCATAACTCTCTCAAAAATATTCCATTTGAGTGTGCCACTGTATTTCTACATTTACGGCACCAATATAACACTTATTTTTTCGGTTAAAAAATAATAGAAAATACTTTTTTTAATGCATCATACCAAGGATTTTTTTAAGGTTTAAATGTTAACTAATTTAAACAACCGCCTCCGGTGTTTGTGGTCCCATATAGTTTCTCACGTGGTTAGAAAACGGATGTAAAATAATGATTAATCACGAGCGGTAAACGATTTTGGTGTTTGGAAAGACGTTGACGAATTACTGTAGAGTCATTCGCTCCTTTATTTTTACAGTCATCTGGTGAACCTGACACGGTATTTAAATAATCGAAATTTTAAATTAAAATCGATAATCCTCAACTTACACGTATTATTTTTAAATGCTCCAAGACGTTTATTCAACTACAATACACATAAGCAATATCCGACGTGTATGTGTTCTCAGCATGAACTAATAACGTGACGTTCGCTGTTATGTAACATAATAAATGGATTACATTTTTACCGTGTCAAAAATCTACAATTCAGTTAAAGGAAACTTTTTCTCTAAAATACGTGCTCTCGGTATAATTTTATTATGTTTGTAGTAAAAGTTTTTACTGATTTAAACAAGAATAATTTAATAATAATACAATAAAAATTAATGGAAACAATTAATGTTAACTTCATATTTTAATTTTTGTTGTCATAGAAATTCATTAATTACAAGTTGCTTTGAAATTTTTTTTTTTAAAGAGCTGATGGCATTTTTTGAAGTAAAATAATTGTTATTTTAAGTGTATAAACTTATATAAATGAGTTTTTTTTTTTTTTTTGTTAATTACTGAAAACATTTTTTTATTTGACAGTCTTGTTACTATTGAAAAAATGTATTATTTAGTAATAAGTAATTTTAAAACTGATTTTGAAGTTAATACACAGAAGTCTTTATTTTGCATAAATAAAACGCCGTCTCACGAATTTATACCTATTTGATTTCGATAAAATATAATTTATTATACTCCACTCTGGTATTTCTTTACTTTATTCATATAAACCTCACATTAAGTCATCGTCTTTTTATGTAAGACTAAAATACAAAAATAAGCGTTGAGCGAGTTCAATATTTAGTATACGTAATTATTTAAAAATATTTTTAGTTAATATTTATATACAATATTCATATTTTATTTCAAGTTTTATAGATAATAATTAATAGAATGAATATGTTAGTAAGTTAATGAAATACAGAATAGTATTAAGATGAAGAATAATTTATTTGTTTAGAAAATTGATATTAAATATACAGAGTGATTCTGTTATCGTTAGTCAATAAATTGATCAAAAAATAAAAATAAAATAATTTGTATTTTCTTTAGATACATGTTATTTTCAATTTATCACAACCACGTAGAATTGTTGATATCCACCTCTTTTGTCTTAAGAGTAGCAATTTAATAATTTTAAATCATACTATACATAATTAACTAGTTTATATTTTAGATAATGATTTAAATGTGAAAATAACTGAATGATAACAACTCTTGATCCAATATTTCAGAAGTTATTGACATTTTAATACCTAGGTGGGAGGTGGAGTGAGACCGAGAAATATCTAATAAGAAAAATGATATAACTTGTGTCTCACTTCCAGTCTATATTTTAGAATCGTTTAACTTCCAATATAATGTGTCAAAAGTTTTCCTCGGACAGTCATTTTCTTTAATGGGATCATTTTTTATTATTTGAGCTAGTTAAATATGTATGTTGTTTTTTAAAATTTTAAGTTGTACTACTGTGCTATACAGGTTTTGACCCAAATACCTGTCAGCAGTAACCCGAGGGAACCACTACAGGATAGCTGGCTAGGTTATGTCTACCTTAAGTACTGAGAGTTCTTTATTGATTTCTGTGCCCTTAGAGGAACTACCAAGGGACGTATTATATTAATATACAGGGTATCCTACCGTGATTTACTAATTTGACTATACAAACTAATGTTAAAATTAGTAAATCTCGGTGGGATACCCTATACTCACGCTCTAATTAATTACAACTATACAGTTTATTATGTCAAACTTAATAATATTAAAAAAGTACAACCTGTTTGGGTACCTAGAGATGTTAATAATCCATACAGAGAGTAAACTGCGACACACACACCGCTAGTTATGTTTTATTCAGTTCATTATTAAAGCTACGGTGTTACGAAGATGGTAAGAAGTCAATTGTACTTTAGTTTCGTGTATTGTCTCATTATTATAAGTCTTTATTGTTTATATATGCTGTATGACCTCCCGTCTGTATTTCAGTGTTATTGTTACAGCGCCCTAATGCTACCTCGGCGATTTACATATGTTAGGTAAATAAGAGACACGAGCACATTAAAATATCAGTTGGTACTCTTAAATGAAAATATTAATACGGGATCGATCTGAAAAATACTTAATTACTTATAAATCAAAAAATCAATATTACTTAACAAAGCCAAGGATTAAATTCCTAAATTTTTTGTAATAAATTTAGTAGTCAACGATAAATCAATTATTGATTTTCTTGATTGAATTATTTTACATTATTTAAACTACTAAAATATGTATGTTGTTATTTAAAAAATAAAGTTTGTACCTTCGTAAGGAAAAAAACAGCTCTAAAAAGTACTTAATGATTGATAATCGAGAGTTGCATGAAACTAAAAAAAATCAGAAAAACTTCTTGATATTATTATTATTTTATGAGAAATCGAGTGGCTAATGTTAAAAGAATTATCTTTATATTAAAAACTGTGATTTATTAAAAATACTACTTCCATTCTTTTGTTAAATATTGATTTTTTCAAATAAATTTATTGATCAAATTTGATTTAGTTTTGTAAACCATTATAATTTTCAAGTTAATTATAAAAAAAAACTTTTTTTAAATGTAGTTTTAAGAGTAACTTTCGAAGTTTTAATGGAAACATATAACTATTTTTAAATAATTAATTGAAAAATGGACTAATTACTAACCAAATAAAAATTTGACTGATCAATGAACAATTTTGTATTGTTATTTTTTATGATATCAGCGTTATAAGGTTTATGAAAAGTGATTGGCGGAGTAGTGTTCAGTGACGTTTTTTTTTTTTAACATAACGCACAGATATTTTTTACACCTTATTACACCTCAGTATAATGGTAATGTAATGGGTTCTCAACTTTTACAACTGATCCCTTAAAACTAACCTTTGAAGAAAATTTTTTACAATAAATTTGATAATTTACCATGATGGTTTACAAAAATAAATAAGATTTCGTTCAGTATTTTATATTCTATAAA